GCAAGATAGAGGTACCCAAAAACCTTCCGCTGAGATTGCGCTGAGGAGAAGAATAGCGCCTGCACCCCTGATAACCAGTGTTTTCATGGCAGCAACCACATTTTACAATGGCGTCTGAGACATTTGTGAGTAGCACCGTCAATGTACCTGAGTCGTTACACCCCTCACCCGCATAAGACCTTGAAGTATCCGCTTCCAAGGCCTTACTAACTAAAAATCTTCAAGCTTATTTTTCCTCTCGACCTTTGAGTTTTGGGCTCAAGAATAGCAGTCAGTCTGTTCACTAGTTTCGTTCAGAAACCACTTCAGTAAGAGATACGAATATTTAGGCTGCGCACCCCGTATGTTACTCAAAATAATATACCTCTTCTCAATGTTTATTGGGACGATCTTTGAAATTATTTGTGAGAATAGTTTATCTCCATCTCATTTGCCGAATCGAACTACCATAAACATATCCACTTCAGGACATGTTTCAGGCTGAACGTGTGGGATAACACTCTAAACCGATCTCAAATCATGAGCCCAATACCTAGAGAGGTCAACTCCTTTCACTACCTCTGGGTTCCGAGAGATCACACCAGATGTTCAGTGCAGAAACTTGAGTGACATGTTGATGGTGGCTGTAAACTTCCCAGTTGATTGTGCAACATCAGTACAAGTCTAAGACCTTTCAAGAGCTTTCAGCAGTACAATCCTGTCAGCCCCGTACCTTGAGCCACCGATACTGACGTCTCTGACAGGTGGTCTGTACCTCAACGGAGGTCTCCACAGTCTTTGATCTCATTTTATGTTGTCTAATCGATCAAGAAACCGACGCTCTGGAACTTTAGGAATAGTCCTTCTGCGAACTTGACAGACCCTTAGGCCAATCACCAGTTATTCGAACTTGTTATAAACCCACGAATACGAGACTAAGGAGGAGAACAGCAGCGTAGTCTGATGGAATAGTATAATTGCAAGGCCGCGTCAAGATACCGACGAGTTCCAACTAACTGGCTAGGGTGTCGGTTACGAGCAGTGCAACGTAACATGACAGCATGCCAAACGGTGTGGATTCTTGACCGTGGGTCTTCAGCTTGGCCACAGAGTGCTCCCCTCTAGTAGGTCTCTGAGGGCCCTGAGACAACACCAGCCAGAGACAAAAACCCAATGGCCTCCTCGCCGGTAGAACTCTTTCGATGAGCTCATTGCGATAAGTGGCCCCTGGTTGTCTGAACTTATTCTAGGGTGCCGTGGCAAAGGAAAAAAGAAAACAGTCAATCGAATTGTACGGTGTTTCCCTCGACTTTCCGTTTAGACCCCGTTGCACCTGGGATAGAAACAAAAATCTTTAATTCCATGAAAACCTTTGCAAGAATGGAAAAACTTTATAAAAAGACAAAAATATCGAAGGACGATCTTGTGCTTCATTTTGGTTTGATTTCTGAAAAAGTATGATTATCTGGTAGTTAAAAATTGGCACAAAAATGGTAAAATGTAGAATTTTTGCATCCCTAATTGATAAAAATAAACGGTGCCTCGAAAAAATTTAAAAATGGTTTTCACATTTTAATTCATACTACTTAGTTGAATATGTGTATAGATACTCCGGGAACCCAACGGTTCCACCTGATCGTGTTTTTTGTTGTGCCGGTAGCTTTTGTATCTGTGTATTGCCAAGCAAATCGTCAGGAATTTCGATAATCGGCTGTGCGCCGGTCGGCCTTAGTGAGCAGAAGCGTCACTTATGATGGGATTGATTGATGGGATAAACTGGTTTCAAACGGTCGATACCGACAGTATCTTCACCTCCGTTTCGATCGATCATTTAAAATTTCCTAAGCCACTTGATCCCTTTCCATGGTTCGTCGTAAGGCAGTTCAAGCGGTCGATGAACGGCATCGTGTCGAACGAACATGCGGGATGTCTTTTGTAAAAAGGAGTGAACAAAGATATCAGTTGTCCGAGGTCGAACAGGAGTAGGCCTAACTAAATGCATTGCTTTTGTACGTCCAGTCTCGTAACATGTTCTGCCTAAAACATGTTTGAAAGTTGGGGGGGGAAACAAGCTCACCTGGTCGGCGAAGAGTGGTCCTATAGATGAGTTCTGCAGGAGTGCTCTCAGCATCAGCTTTCGACGACCACAGGCAAAGCCCCGGTTCAACGAGGTATGTTTGCAGCTGAGAGGTGAGCTTTTGGCTGTGAAGCGGAACATTTCACCATACCATTTGCTCGTGACTGGTGGGCTGTCCTTCGGAACTGAGTGTAACCTAAAAGTGCTGTTAAAGCGTGAAATAACCCTCACTCGAATTGGCTCCCATGGTGGGTTGTTACGTAGGATGGACATCCAAAGTTTGCGATCCATCTTTTGACAAAAACACAAGCAGTAGTATCCTTAACAGTTACTGCTTCTGGTCATCTCGTAAAACGGCCCATGCAGTTGAAAAGGTAAGTGCATCCATTAGATTCTGGAAGAGGCCCCACAATATCTATGTGGACGCGATCGAAACGTATGTCTAGGGCCAGAAAAGAACCTGGAGGGCTTTTTGTGTGCCGCGTGGGTGTACCCTTCTGACAAGCAACTGAGCCCACTCTTTGACGTCTATGCTGACCTCCGGCAATCAGAAACGTTGTGCAATAAGCCTGAAGGTCGCCAGTACCTCTGGGTGGGATAGCTTGTACAACGTATTGAAGATGTCGACATCTCTTTGGGACTAATGGGTGTGGCAGCCTTTTTACCTGTCAGTGAGTGTACACCTTTGTTGAAAGTAGTATGCCCATTGAAGCTGAGTGATTCAACTCCTATTTCACACCTCTGTACGTTGACTGTGATGCCACGTTACCTCAGTCTGCTAAATATGAGGTCCAAATGATTAGGGAGAGTCTCCTGATCTAGACTCGCAGTGGGACAGTCATGGATGCAGACATGGACAAAGTCCAAACCATGGAAGACACCACTTATAAAGAGCTGGAATGTTTGTGATACATCCCGACCAAAATGTATGCCAGGGATTCATACAAGCCAAAAGGAGTAATAATAGCTGTTTTCGCGACATCTACTGTCAGAGGTATCTGATTGTACTTTTTGACCAGATCGATTTTCGGGATAGGTTCATTCCGCATAACGTTGTAGTCAAAAAGCAGACCTGAGGTATTGGGCGGCAGTCCAGCGTTGCTTTGGTGTTAAGCCTTCGGTAATCGCCGGTTGGAAGCCAGCCGCTGTGACCCCACTTGGGAACCATATACAACGGTGATGCCAAAGGACTGTTCGACGGTTTGATAATCCCCTGTCTGAGCATGTGGTTGAATTCACTTTTCACTGTTTTGAGATTATCAGGGTAGTGATGGTGTGCTTCGGATGCCACAGGTGGACATGTGGTTGTGACGTGATGCACAACACTGTTGGTTATGCACGGCAGAGTGTACTTCGGTTATTGTGACTCAAAATGTCTCTCTAGGACTGCCTGATACGACGCGCCACTTCAGTGTTTAAATCTACTGATGGCTAATCTCAGGCCCACGTAGGTGTTACCGCCAATAGATAACTTCATGTTGTTATCTGTCGGTCGTCGACGTCAAGTATCCACAAGTAGATCGTAATGGTTCAGCAACCTATGCCAGTGATGGGAATAAAAACATCTGCTGGGAGGGAAATCCAGCGACTAGGATTAAGTAAACCCAAGTTGAGGCCTATCATCCCCCAAAGGTTGAGACCACCTTGCCGTTAGCTGCCAGTAGGTTGAAGGATGAGTTATGATGACCTTCCTACTTCGAAGCAGGAAGAAAGCCAAATTCTGCGCCGCTGTCAACGACGCAGCTAACTTTTGCTTTTACGTCGGTGACGTACACCAAACGGCTTCTCCCACCGGCCAGAGTTCCCGTTAAAGCGTGCAGGCGGAGCAGTTTTCCGAATTTGTGTCTTTGTTGAAACTGCATGGCTTCCGACCTTTTCTGGCTCCGTACTCAAAGGTATGGTGAAACCAGCACTATTTACGGTCTTCGAACCCGCCAGGTTTAGTTTTCAGACAACTAAGCGAGTTGCGGCGAAGGGCCAAGACGCGCTTCCGTGATGTACTACGTAGCTTATGGCTTCGGGTTTGTGGCGGCCACTTAATAGAGTTGCAGAGCTTCGTTACTTCTGAATGCTGGCTCTAGGGTATTTCGCAGACCGAATATGCGCTGCAGACGGGTCGGCTAGAGATCTCCAATATCCCATCTGCTATGGGTGCCAGGAGAAAGAGTGAAACCGACTGGAGTGTCACTAACACGGTTTGCACCGGTCGTGGTTGCTTTGGGAAGATTTCGGAAACGGCAATTGTCGAACGTTCACGGGCGCATCAATATCAGCATGCGTGCAGGATTTTAGTAGCTTAGTTGCTTCCTAGTTCCATTCTATAAAGCAGTTCGTCTAAACGCTAGTGATCCATAAGACTACTTCTCACCACGAGTGCAGCTTCGTGAAACGCACGAAGGTCACTTAATTCAGGGCTTAAAATAAGCACTATAACGTGCAGGTTTAAATCCCCGCGGTAGTGAACGAATGTCAGAAAACGAGAATGGGGATACGTGACCCCCTGGTCTCGAAAAGCTGCTTGGGCAATGATCAGGCATAGTGCTAAAACTGACTGAAACGTCATGGATGTTGACTGAAAATAGGGTCCATGGAAAAGCTTCCCGAGGACGTCGATACCATCGAGCTGTGCACCAACACAGAAAGAGCTCAATCCCCAAAACGACATTTAACCGCGACAGATTGATAACACAGTGGAACAATAAAAGGAAATCCTAAAACCCAGGAAATGACGTGAACTTGAGTGTGATGGAGCTTCTTTGAGTTCAGTTAACTGAGAAGCTTCAGATCTGGTGGAAAACAGCCAATTTTGTCAAGGTGTAGAGAATATGACTTCCTGTTTCAACTTCAGTGGGGACAGTAAGGAGTTAGGGAGCCACAGGTGCCACGGGTTGCTCTGTCGTGCCCATTTGCGAGAACCTTTATTGAACCCATATTCTCTTCACCAGTTTGTTTGAATGAACCGAAGTAGAATGTAATGGCGAGGTCCGCCATCAGTATTCTTTTTTAAACCCCTGGTGCACACCCAACTGACTGGAAAAGATGGAATCCGTCGCTGCGCATAAGGATGAAGTTGTAAGTTCATGTTTTTATGTTTTATTTCTACCTAAGACTCCTGTTGAGTCAAAAATTGACGACTTGAAGCGAAAGTCTGTCGATGCAAAAGACGTTGCGGACCATGACGCTAAGAATGGCAGTGACGAGCCAGTTATCAAGAAAGTCAGGAAAGGTATGTCGACCAAGTCAGTAAAAATTCAACTCTTTTCCAGATGGCAAAGAGGCTGGGGATAATGTTATTGACGACAAGGTTCACAGCCCAACTTCAGAGAGGCATGCGGAGGGTGAGTCGGATGAGGATGGCACTGAAGGTAAGCTGGGTTTTAGTAGGCTTTTGTCTCGGTTGGATTTCGCCTGTAAGCGTTTGGTCTAAGTTGTTTGAGCTGGCAATCTAAGTAATTGGTTTCGATTTTCAGATGACGCCTCCCAAGACACTAAAGGAACTAATGGAACAGGTGAGTATCATACTCTTGTTTATGTCATTTGTCAGGCGAACATGTAAACGGAAGTAATGGAGAACATGTAAATGAACACCACGATGAAAGTAATGACATTTTGCATTAATGCATAGTTCTAGAATCAGATGATGAGTCCGAATCAGAGTCGGAAAAGGGAGATGAAGCACCTTCAGTCGAGAAGGAGTCGAACGGAGAGACCAGCGAGTAACTACGGCATTTCTGTGCACTCCAGGCATTTATGTCTTTTTATAACGTTTTACCGATTTTTATCCTAACCCGGCAGCTTTTGCACAATTTTACTACCCACCTATATCTAATATAACAGATGCTCGGACTCTTTCTTTTTTCATTGGAATGAATTCGTCTAACAGTTGGGATTAATGTTGTAACTTTTGTTCCTTTTGGATTACACTGTAGGCGGATTGTTTCATGCAATATATGTATATTCAGCCATTAGGCGTTTTGACCGACGTTTTCCACATAAGTGGCTTGCTTTTTACCAGTGGGGTGGGGCGTCCGTATAATTATTTCGCATTGTCAACTGTGCTTCAATGTATCTGAAAACGATCCTGAACTCATCTTCTTTGTGTGGGTAGATAGTACATCTAGTTTTATCAGGGTGTTGCTAAGCCTCCTGTCGGTGCCGCTGTCGTCTGACTATTAAAATATTTCAATACAGCCGAATACTAGTCCTCACAACATATTGCCATTCGAAGTTTCTCTTTAGTAAGATCGAGCATAACTGCTGTCTTCCTTTAAGAACTTTTTGGGTTGTGCACTAGAAGTGGCCTAAAGTTCGATTGTTAGTAGCGACCGAATTACACGTGTCTGTAACGATGATAACCTGCGTGTGAGTCAAAAGCTGCCCCAATAAACGTGCTTCTCAGTAGGTTGGTAAACGAGCTGGTAGTTTGGTGCACTGGCATCCACCATTTCTGATGTGACAAGATCTTCCAGGTGCATATGGCCACAGCTATCGCGTACGGGGAATTACATGATGAAGTATGAGCGGGCTAGCAGGCAAGCCGCTTTATTACATTTGTCAAGACGGGCGGTGCGGCAGTCACTCAAAGCTCATTGATACTGGGTGAGTCGTTTCTCCGACGCCGATCGTGGGAAGGTGCAGTGTCTTCGTCCGACCCGTGTGAAATGTATTCTCAGTTCCCGCTCCTTCTACTTAAGACTATATCCCTCATTCTCCCATTACTTACGAGACCTCACCAATGTCGGCAGTTTCCTTTCCGCGATGCTGTCCTCATAGATCGCTTTTAATTTAGATAGAGCAGCTAACGTACTTTTGCGTGAGCTTGTTTTGTGTGTTTCACACTTGGCCACTGAAGTGATTTACTCAAATGCAACCATCCGTATCTTATCCAAGAAAGGATTGCACCAGTAAATGGGCAACCAGAGCTGCCAATCTGGCTAGAGTTTTGACTGTTAGGTTTATGATCACTTTTAGTGATAAATTTATGGGGGACGTTTGTTGTGCACTGTTAGGATTTTTGGAGTTTGGTTGGTAAAGTACTGGTGGCAAATCAACTTACGTTTGGTATTTCGTTAGTGAGTTTGTGGCAATCGCTTCCATCTTTTAGACATCTGAGTTGCTTGTCTACTTTCCAAGTACGGAAATAACGCTGGCATCTGTACCGAGACCGTATATCACAACCTGTTTGCGCAGTCAAGAATATACCTGGCGGTCCGGCTTATTTGGTGGCCTTATGTTATTGCATCTTTAGGATTGCTTGAGTTAGGCAGAATATATTCGCTAGAGTAGATCCCCTGGAGTCCAGCCACGGTTGCTGTTCTACGTAGCTATTTGTTTGTCTTTTGCTGACTCTTGGAGCATGGCCTTCGTTTCCTTTACCACTGCAGCAGGAAATAACTATGTTTCGTAGCGTCTTTAAGTGCACTTAGATGAGAGCACAATTTCAATCGGGTAACTATTTATTCTCGTTGGTCCGAAATAGCAACCGGTTTAGATGACAGTGACTAAACCACCACCATTTTGAAGTCTCAGACTGTATGACACTGAAATTAAAAATACTTGGGAATTTAGGTTCTGTCTGACTGACCTGCAGAGTTGATTGGTATGGATTATGTGTCAGTGAAAGGTGAACCACTAGGATGCAGGGATATTTGTCAGACCTGGGATACTCGTTGGTATCAAGAAGTTCACGCTATGTAGGGTTTCTTGGCATCAAATGATAGTGAACCCGCGTCTGGTATTTGATTGAATTATCCACTACCGATATAAGCGTACAACTTAGGCACTGTAGTAGGATGTAACTCCATATTAGATTTGCTTACGTGATATACTGCAGTGTTGCAGTTAATGGACCTTTACCACGAGAGTGAAATTTGGTCTGAAAAGTTGAATATCAGCGGTTATGCAAATGACCTCAATTGCATTTCTAAGTGGTTTGTCCTATTCAAGGTAGTGTAGTGTAACCAAACCTGACTAGTTCCGCCCGCCATTTGACGACTAGAGTTTGTTGGTTCCGTGACACTACTTTGGTGTTGCAATTACTGTGGACTGGTGGGTTCGTTTGGTTGTTGAAGCTATCCCGATTTTCACCAACTGCTTGCTGTCTGAAAGTGCTTAGCAAGTGTTCGTTCATAAACATGAAATATTTTCGTCTAAGTCTTCGTTGCAAGCTGTACTGTTCTGGATTTCCGAAAATGCTAGTGCTGTCCATCCTGAGGTATTGTTACGTTTAATCCATTCTGTGTTAGTCTAGATTGTCTTTAACTGCTGCTGTTTAGTGTATAGAGTGGTGTATATTTTACAGTGTTTGAGTCATTCTGGGGTAATTTTACTGGGAAGTCACCACTAGATAACTTTGTTATGGGAGGGGGAGTGGTTCGCAGTTATCTTTTATGTTCGGAATGGTTGGAGATTCTTATTTCTTTGTCAAGTTTCGTAATGGTTGTGACGTGAGAAGTACCCACCTTTGGATTGCGTAGTGTTTTTTCGCTTTTATCTTCGGTGAAATTACTGGACAAACCGTGTTTACTTGTGGGATGGTAAAATGTGAAAGCTCACATCTTTGCAAAGCTGACAGTGCGTTGTTTTACTGTCTCGCCAGTTGTCGGTATAGTTCACTTTTCTGATCAGTCAGTGTAATTATACCCTATAAATAAGTAAAGACTTCTCATACAACCGGTATTAAAGTCAAAATGTACAAGGTTGATCAGCTTGTCAGCAGGAATTCAGTTGTTGCTAACAAAACTCACGGTATTATTGCGTAACGTTAACAGCAAGATGGAAATGATTGACATTTGAAACGTTTAGATTTTGTGGGGAACACTGATTAGATTTGCTAACATCAGCATATTTCAGTTGAGGATCCATAATGTGGTTTGGAAATTGTGCATTACTTAGCAAATGTTTGTACAGGGTAATTGCGCTTTAAGTAAGGTGTTTGGTGTACTTGTAACACTGAAGGCTAGGTGTGTGTTGGGGAGCGTGAATTGTTTAACATGCAGCCGATAACCGGGTCTCATCGTAAGTGAAAGGGCTATTCATCAGACCTGAAAGCGAGCACCAAGCCACACGAAGTAAAGGTGGGAGGACATCCATAATGGCATAAGTAGTTCCATCAAGTGATTCTGGAGTAAAATTTAGGCAATGTAATGTCCTGAAATACGTGTTTGGTGATCAGCTTGTGGGAAACAAGAATATGGTACCACTAATTTGGTTGTGGCTGCGTTGGAAGATAACTAACAAAGTCCTCAACTGTGGGTGTGGTCCGTATAGGCTGGCTGCCGGTTTGGTGGGAGACTGAGTGTCATTGTTCAAAATCAACCGCAATCATCGAAATTTCGGACAGTTTTGCCTACCTTCGTATCTCTGCACACTTCTGTCTACTTGGATTTACTTTTTCTTGGTTTAATCCTGTTAGATGAGGTTATATGAACTAGGCTGTATATCAATCTGTATAAAGCTCCGTCTTTTTAGATTTTGCGGTTACCTTTGACGCATCGCATTTTACGTTGTCAATTTGCTCCTTGTTATACAGAGTTAGATGAGGGTATTAACTTTAAATACTTAAAAAAGGAACTTCCAGAGGGACAAGATCAATATATTGTGGTTAGTTTCAGTTATTAGAATCCATTTTTCTTTAAAACTAGAAATTGGTTTCCACACTTTGAATTAGGTAGTGTATCTTCCAAGTCAAAATGTACTAAGCTTTAAAGGTATCTTTCGAGAAGCATTTGTTCGGAATGAGTTACTTAGTGGCCCTAACAGACCACAGAATCTTTATTATGTTATTCCCTATTTACACCCCCATAACTGTATATAGGTAGTGTTAAATTAATCTGTAAGAGGATTCAGCATTTGCTAGATCGTTAGGGCCCTCCACAGGTATGATCATACCTCTTACGTTAACATTTAAAGTAAGTTGCGTCCCTTCAGATCGAGTGCATGTGATATCCATTTAAATCTAAAGAGTGTTGTCATCCTACTACTTCTGCGGATGCTAATCAGAAGCATTTAAACTCAACTTAATGACTAGTCTTTACTGGTATATTATAAAAATTCTTAATGATTAGTTTTCGGTAAAGCTACTATCAGTTGAATGGTTAAAAACAGTTATGGCCTTGAGGGATAGACGTAGAAAGTCCCACCTCCAACTGAAAAAGTCAACTTCAAATTTAGTTGGTTCGCGAACAATTCTGCCACTGACCAATATCATCTGTTCTCACTTGAGTGACATCGTGGATACTAGAGTCCTAATAAAATTTTGAAAAACCGATCTCCAAGCCCTATACACAACTACAGTACTGTCCATTTCAATCATATTCTCTCAAAATCACCATATTTTTAATGTTAGCCTAGTCTATCGAAATTAATGAGAATTTGAGTAAAGTAGATAAGTTTTAAGTGAATTCTAGAACTGTGTCGTAATGATTGCTTACTAACTGTAAAATTTCACAGCTTGCAACTCACAAGTTAGTGCAATAGATACCATACCGTTAAATTAGCACTAAATGTTATTACTGCCTCCATTGTATCGTACTCGAGTAAGCTCAAAATCACAGCGGTATGCAAAATACTAATAATAATGCTGACTTTAATCTGTCATTCTTAATCTATCTCTGCGAAGTGGTACTAGCTCACACAGATTTCGTGTTTTGAAATATGTCTAATTTATTTACTGTTTGAAATGTACAACTGTGTTACATATTTCTACATTAAATGTTCAATATTTAGTCTGACAGTCGAAAAAATTGCGCACAAATATATATTGATCATGGGTGGAACACCAGCAATTTCGATAGTTTCTTCTAAAAGAGCGAATGTGAAATTACTTTCCTTGTCAGCTGTTGTTGTTAAAAACCCACTATTCAAACTAATACATAATAAATTGACTTCAGCCTTGGCTAGTAGAAAAAGATGGTAGGGTGGGTATGTACATCATGATCCGTACATGTCATATGGTATCTCGCT